ATAGCGATGTACATACGATTCGAACATCAGGTTTGGAAAGTTTTTATTATATGAATATATAGTGCCGGACAACTACAATATTCAAAATATATTATATATACACAGGATTTTCCAAAATGCACGTAGATAGCTGGTGGGATTCTTACTTAGAACATGGAGGAACCCCCAAAACCTCTGTGTATATATATATATAGCGATGTACATACGATTCGAACATCAGGTTTGGAAAGTTTTTATTATATGAATATATAGTGCCGGACAACTACAATATTCAAAATATATTATATATACACAGGATTTTCCAAAATGCACGTAGATAGCTGGTGGGATTCTTACTTAGAACATGGAGGAACCCCCAAAACCTCTGTGTATATATATATAGCGATGTACATACGATTCGAACATCAGGTTTGGAAAGTTTTTATTATATGAATATATAGTGCCGGACAACTACAATATTCAAAATATATTATATATACACAGGATTTTCCAAAATGCACGTAGATAGCTGGTGGGATTCTTACTTAGAACACGGAGGAACCCCCAAAAAACTCTGTGTATATATATATATAGCGATGTACATACGATTCGAACATCAGGTTTGGAAAGTTTTTATTATATGAATATATAGTGCCGGACAACTACAATATTCAAAATATATTATATATACACAGGATTTTCCAAAATGCACGTAGATAGCTGGTGGGATTCTTACTTAGAACATGGAGGAACCCCCAAAACCTCTGTGTGTATATATATATAGCGATGTACATACGATTCGAACATCAGGTTTGGAAAGTTTTTATTATATGAATATATAGTGCCGGACAACTACAATATTCAAAATATATTATATATACACAGGATTTTCCAAAATGCACGTAGATAGCTGGTGGGATTCTTACTTAGAACATGGAGGAACCCCAAAACCTCTGTGTATATATATATAGCGATGTACATACGATTCGAACATCAGGTTTGGAAAGTTTTTATTATATGAATATATAGTGCCGGACAACTACAATATTCATCCACCTTCAAATTTCAGCTACGAAATGGGGAGGACTTGGGCTACAGTACAGATTGCCAGCCAGGATTTTTTTGTACTAACAGGAGGGGTTGTGCCCCCCATTTTGTATTTGGAATCATTTTGTAGTTGATTCCTTTCCAATCATCATTTTCATTTTGTAGTTGTATATGTTGAGTTAGTTGAAGCATCCAACATAAAATTTCATTAGCATTTTGTAGTTGTACAAGTTGAATAGTTGAAGCATCCAACATAAAATCTCATTTGCATTTTGTAGCTGTACAGGTTGAATAGTTGAAGCATCCAACATAAAATATCATTTGCATTCATTTGCATTTTGTAGTTGTATGTATGTTGAGGAAGTTGAAACATTCATAAAATGATATAAAATTTAATTAACATGATTTAAAATGTAACATGAAACAGATCATGAAGCTACAGAATGCCATCTAACAAACTGCACGGGGTCAACACTTGATCCAACTAAATTCAATCATTGACAACTACAAAATGTTCTCCGAATTTATGTTGGTCGGAACTTTGGATGGCAAAGACCCAACTACAAAATGTCATTGGGAAAAGTCATGTTAGCAATTCCGACGTTCAGCTATTTTTTAACTTCAGATGCATTGGATTTTGTAGTACTGGTTTTGAATTATTTTCCGAGCCAGAAAGAGTTATGTTCTTCATTTTGTAGCAGCAAAAAAAGTAACACGCACTGCATTTTGTAGTTGTGCACCCTATGCATTCCGCTCTGTATCTACCAAAACCATCTGCACAACTCCTCCCCCCTTATCTGAACCCTGATCAATATTCAAAATATATTATATATACACAGGATTTTCCAAAATGCACGTAGATAGCTGGTGGGATTCTTACTTAGAACATGGAGGAACCCCCAAAACCTCTGTGTATATATATATATATAGCGATGTACATACGATTCGAACATCAGGTTTGGAAAGTTTTTATTATATGAATATATAGTGTCGGACAACTACAATATTCAAAATATATTATATATACACAGGATTTTCCAAAATGCACGTAGATAGCTGGTGGGATTCTTACTTAGAACACGGAGGAACCCCCAAAACCTCTATATAGCGATGTACAGACGATTCGAACATCAGGTTTGGAAAGTTTTTATTATATGAATATATAGTGCCGGACAACTACAATATTCAAAATATATTATATATACACAGGATTTTCCAAAATGCACGTAGATAGCTGGTGGGATTCTTACTTAGAACACGGAGGAACCCCCAAAACCTCTATATAGCGATGTACATACGATTCGAACATCAGGTTTGGAAAGTTTTTATTATATGAATATATAGTGCCGGACAACTACAATATTCAAAATATATTATATATACACAGGATTTTCCAAAATGCACGTAGATAGCTGGTGGGATTCTTACTTAGAACATGGAGGAACCCCCAAAACCTCTGTGTATATATATATATAGCGATGTACATACGATTCGAACATCAGGTTTGGAAAGTTTTTATTATATGAATATATAGTGCCGGACAACTACAATATTCAAAATATATTATATATACACAGGATTTTCCAAAATGCACGTAGATAGCTGGTGGGATTCTTACTTAGAACATGGAGGAACCCCCAAAACCTCTGTGTATATATATATATAGCGATGTACATACGATTCGAACATCAGGTTTGGAAAGTTTTTATTATATGAATATATAGTGCCGGACAACTACAATATTCAAAATATATTATATATACACAGGATTTTCCAAAATGCACGTAGATAGCTGGTGGGATTCTTACTTAGAACATGGAGGAACCCCCAAAACCTCTGTGTATATATATATATATAGCGATGTACATACGATTCGAACATCAGGTTTGGAAAGTTTTTATTATATGAATATATAGTGCCGGACAACTACAATATTCAAAATATATTATATATACACAGGATTTTCCAAAATGCACGTAGATAGCTGGTGGAATTCTTACTTAGAACATGGAGGACCCCCCAAAACCTCTGTATATATATATATAGCGATGTACATACGATTCGAACATCAGGTTTGGAAAGTTTTTATTATATGAATATATAGTGCCGGACAACTACAATATTCAAAATATATTATATATACACAGGATTTTCCAAAATGCACGTAGATAGCTGGTGGGATTCTTACTTAGAACATGGAGGAACCCCCAAAACCTCTGTGTATATATATATAGCGATGTACATACGATTCGAACATCAGGTTTGGAAAGTTTTTATTATATGAATATATAGTGCCGGACAACTACAATATTCAAAATATATTATATATACACAGGATTTTCCAAAATGCACGTAGATAGCTGGTGGGATTCTTACTTAGAACATGGAGGAACCCCCAAAACCTCTGTGTATATATATATATAGCGATGTACATACGATTCGAACATCAGGTTTGGAAAGTTTTTATTATATGAATATATAGTGCCGGACAACTACAATATTCAAAATATATTATATATACACAGGATTTTCCAAAATGCACGTAGATAGCTGGTGGGATTCTTACTTAGAACATGGAGGAACCCCCAAAACCTCTGTGTATATATATATAGCGATGTACATACGATTCGAACATCAGGTTTGGAAAGTTTTTATTATATGAATATATAGTGCCGGACAACTACAATATTCAAAATATATTATATATACACAGGATTTTCCAAAATGCACGTAGATAGCTGGTGGGATTCTTACTTAGAACATGGAGGAACCCCCAAAACCTCTGTGTATATATATATAGCGATGTACATACGATTCGAACATCAGGTTTGGAAAGTTTTTATTATATGAATATATAGTGCCGGACAACTACAATATTCAAAATATATTATATATACACAGGATTTTCCAAAATGCACGTAGATAGCTGGTGGGATTCTTACTTAGAACATGGAGGAACCCCCAAAACCTCTGTGTATATATATATAGCGATGTACATACGATTCGAACATCAGGTTTGGAAAGTTTTTATTATATGAATATATAGTGCCGGACAACTACAATATTCAAAATATATTATATATACACAGGATTTTCCAAAATGCACGTAGATAGCTGGTGGGATTCTTACTTAGAACATGGAGGAACCCCCAAAACCTCTATATATAGCGATGTACATACGATTCGAACATCAGGTTTGGAAAGTTTTTATTATATGAATATATAGTGCCGGACAACTACAATATTCAAAATATATTATATATACACAGGATTTTCCAAAATGCACGTAGATAGCTGGTGGGATTCTTACTTAGAACATGGAGGAACCCCCAAAACCTCTGTGTATATATATATATAGCGATGTACATACGATTCGAACATCAGGTTTGGAAAGTTTTTATTATATGAATATATAGTGCCGGACAACTACAATATTCAAAATATATTATATATACACAGGATTTTCCAAAAATGCACGTAGATAGCTGGGGGGATTCTTACTTAGAACACGGGGGAACCCCCAAAACCTCTACTTAGAACATATATGAACATATATGTTCTAAGTAGCGGTCCAGGATCTCTACTTAGAACACGTTTTGGAATTCTAAAACCAATGTTCTAAGTAGTTGTCCGGCGCTATATATTCATATATATATAAATTCAAATATGTATATATATACATCAATATATATAAATATATGTATATACACATATATATGCTCATATATATATACACATATTCATATATATATATATATATTCATATATACATACATACATATGCATATATATATATATTCATATATATATATATATTCATATATATATATATATACATATATTCATATATGGATGGCTGAATCAGAATTCACAAACTTTGAAGTAAGCACTTCTACTAACAATCATCCCATTCCTATGTAGTTGATGCCAATTGGGTTCAACTGGATCATCCCAATTTCTCCATCCCTTGGCGCCTGTTCAGCGTGCAAGGACAGCATGATGCCTGGGTTCCAGGAAGCGCTGTACTGGTTGCTGGTACCCAAAATGTTGGATCGTGGGATCTGAGTCTGGTTGCTACATTCTTAGATTGCTATAGATTGCAGGGATGCAACACGAAATTCTACCAAGGACACCCAGAGGTGGAAGAATGAGTCGATCCTCAAATTTTCCAGGCGACATGTCATTCCCCTTAAGAAGTAATCAATATGCCAAAATGCAAAGATCTTAATAGATCCAATGCTAAACAAGAGGGTCTGGCCGGTGTTTATCAGGGGGAAACGATTACCGTATCCATAGGGTGTTGCAGCTGAACATCAGTGGTAACCTACGCCCATCCTATGCCCACAACCACCAGCTTGGCCGGTAAGACGAACTGATTTCAGGCAATCACCGAATCAGTGGGTATGGGTATGATTGGGTCAATATTCAAGACCGAGGAAACAACATCTGTCCATTATCATGGATATTTGCGTGTACTGATCATCATTTTTTGAGTAACCAAATTTGATTTATGTAGTTCCAGATGGTTGTGACTCCCAAAAACTCAACATATTTTCCCCCAAACTGATTTTTTGATGGTTACAAATCAACAAACATGACTCTTGTGGTGTATATGCAAATTTATATTTAAAAACACACATATATATACATAGTACATCAAACATATGTATACATACATATATATATATATATAAACTATCTACATATCAAATCTCTATATATATATATCATATCTATATATATAACATATATATCATATCTATATATATATATATAAATCATACATATCATATCTATATGTATATATATATATCATATCTATATATATATACACATATCATATCTGTATATATATATCATACATACATATGTCATATCTATATATATAATATGTACCCTCCTGTAAACTAACATAGATGTGGAAACCCCACCATCCCCATCATTTATATCATTCTCCTAGGGAGCCCTGGGTTTTCCACATTGATTTTTGGTTTACCCCAGGGTACACATCTACTCATACCTGGGGTGCCATCGCATGGCTGGGAAAATCATCCCAAACTGGAGGACTTCCCAGTGCCATGTTTGATTACCAAAGGGTACTGGACAACTGAATTGATGACAAATCATTCGTGATTTGATGGATTAGATATGAATTAATTCCCTGGATAATCTACAAAATATGTCCTGAAAATGAAAGTTCACGATCCACTGATAGTCATATTAATCATAATAATTGTTCAGAATACCATCCAGTCAACTAACATAGCTATGGAAATTGGCTCATTTGGTTCGACGTTTTACCTAGAAATCATGGTGATTTTTCACTTCGCAAACTCTTCGTTTACAGGAGGCTAGACCACAGGGTAACTACATGTGTATATCATATTCTGTCACCATTATATGTTTAAGTCTCACAAACATATATCACTGTGTATACATGTTTAAGCTAGCGGGTGGAAACCCGCGCGTGTAGTCGTGCTACTTTTTGAATATGGGGTTTGGGTGGGGTGGGGTGGGGAAAAAGAAACGTTCATGCGACTTGCGCACACACGTGATGCTACTACGCTGCTGCTACGTCAGTGGTTAGGGGTTGGGTGGGGTGGGGTGGGGTGGGATAAAAACGTTCATGTGACTTGCGTGCACGTCACGTGATGCTTTGAAATGTGTGCTCACGACCCACAAGCATGGTCACAAAAGCATCTTGGTGACAAACGGTGCCCCATGCTACCCTAAACTATCCTAAACTCACCTCTGAAAATAATCTGATTCATGAATCTTGCAATCATAGTAAGGGCATCTTTTGCATCAAGGAGACAAAGAAATGGGGTATCTTGCTGGTGCGCACCAGTGGTATCGATGGTATGCGGAAAATTTCCCAAGGTGCAGTATCAAGTTCTTGGAGCACACGCAAAGGTGGTGCTGTTAACCCTCAGTTGCTTCAAGGAATTCGAATTTGGCAATGGCGATGGCACCATGGAAATTGCAAAGACTTCCTCAGTCTCACCGGCCACGCTCTAAGCAAACACTTGGAGAAGTGAGATGTCCAAAGCAAAAGTAAAAAAACAAACGCCACCCCAGAAGCACAAAACCCTGTAAATACCACATCATTCCTTCAAAGTCACTTCATTTTCCCCTGGAAAATTTGAGGTAATGTTGATCTAAAAATGCGTACGGCGCCACAGCGCCAGAAGAGTCTTTTTTTTCAAAAAGTGCTTAACCCGACCGCGCGGTACGGGGCGCTAGCGCTAGCGCTGTTTCCCACCCGCCGGGATGTTAAGTATCCAGGACTATATATACATTATTGTATAACCGCTGGTCACCATTTCTATCTCCAAGCGTTGGAGAATCCCCTACCCTGCCTAGCGCCAGGCACAGGACTAGGGGACCCCAAAGGTCCCACCTAAGCCAGGTCAAGATACGGGGTCTCATGTTGGAACCCGGGCAGCCCTGGCAATTAAAATCCCTTACATGGACCTTTAGAATGACTCCCATATATATACATATGTTTGCTATGAATATTCATATATGACTAAACATAGTTCAAATATTATGTGTAATGTACACATATAATAAATATAATAATGTTGTACACAAATAGATAGACAGTCCATTGATCAATCAATCAATCGATCGATCAATCATAATCAAGCTACCTGCATCTCTGTCGAGTGACATTGCTCAAGCAATCAGCACCATAATCAATCCATCAAAAAGAAATAGTGGATGCCACTAATTCCACAAACATAAAAACTATATTGAAAGATTCAAATATGCCATAGACGTCATACTCTTTACATACCCTGAACTTAGCATGGAACCAAAAAAACAAAAGTACTAAGAAAATGGTCTTGCAGACCCAATTTTTCAGGTCCAGAGTTAACATTTGATAAATTAAGGGGGTGTAAGCCCAATGTGGTAAGTATGAACAGAAATTGGTGGCCAAATCCTCTCCAAATGGTAGGTTTATTGTTGGCGTACCACATTAGATGTTGAAATCCCGCTTAAATCCTATGAGACATCCATCATTTTCCATCATCTTCCCCCTCGCGAGGAAGTTTCGTTCAGCGCATGCCGGGTGGCTCTCGCAGTCCAGCTCCTTTGTCTGCCCGCGCACGGGGGAGCATCACATACTTCAGCTTGGTGCCGATAGACCTGGTGCCAGGTCGCTGTCTCGTGAAGATATGGAAATCATATGTGTGATCTATTTACTTGTCGTATATATATATATAGTAGATAGATTTGCATCGAATCTGTAAATATAAATATAAATAAATATATATATATATATAATATAATATACTAATACACGCAGACCCCGAGGTTTGCCCAAGCCAAGAATAGCGTAAATCCCAGGGAATTCTGTACGACGTCAAACAACGGGAAGGATTTTATGTTCAATTATTATGTTGCTAGGGTGTTAACCAGAACATGTTGCTTGTGCACATCATATAGCCAGAGCATGTTGCTTCTACATATCATATGGAACTAACCATACAGTCAGTCATTGGGGCTTCTTATAGGGTTTTAAGAAGATATGAAAATCCCCCGGCCCCATGGAAAAATTGACCATACAATCACTAAGGTTTCTTATACTTGGTGGATGGTTTTGGTTTAGCGTACTTGTAAGTACTTGCAAGTACTGTTACAACCAGGTTATAAGCTATTGTAAATTTCCTAAGTCAGCTAAGTTTTTAAGTTTTTTAGGGCACATACAACCTACTTATAGGAGTTGGTCACTTGTATGTTTTGTAACTATTTTTTGTTTACTTTCTACAAAAATATAGTTTTCGAACTTATAACTAACTTAGCAAACTTATATAACTTTTTTGCATGTTCAAAACTTAGTCATTTGTGTTTTTCCGTTATTTTTGATTATTTTGGTAACAGGATGTGTTTGGACCGCATGTGAAAAATCAGTTGGAAAGTGATTTCTTGGCAAAGAATTGCTTTGAAACACTGCGGCTCATTGGACCACATCTTGATGATCCTCCTGAGGCTGCGGCTATGACCACATCTAGCTCTTCGTCTTACAAAATCTTGAAGATTTCAAGAGTATGGAGGATCAGGCCGAAAATGATGACCAGCACGGCAATGATGGAAAGAAGTTCCAGATGGGCCAAACGGCAGCAGGAGAAGCGGTGCCTGAAAAAAAATGCAATTCAAAACTCATCCATGGAATGATGAAAAATGCAAACGTTTACCCAAAGGAAGGTTGAGAAACAGGGAAAATGTATATAGAATGTATAGAAATGTATCGGAATGTATCGGACAAAAAAAATGGAGTTATACATGTATAACTCGAAAAAAAATGGAGTTATACATGTATAACTCGAAAAAAGTGGAGTTATACATGTATAACTCGAAAAAAATATGGAGTTAGACATGTATAACTCGAAGGAGTTATACATTCCTGTACATTCCTATACATTCCATATTTTTCGCAGGTTTTGGGGCAAAGGTTTTTGAAAGTCCATAGTTTTTTTGGCTTTTGTTTGACAAAAAAAATGCGGCCCCATGGGCCGCAATTGTAGAAATCAAACCGTTCACATATGTTATAATCTGGGACTCAAAATTTGGCAGGTGCGGCACAGTGGGCCGCAGTGATTCAAATCGAAGGGGATGCACGTCCTACAAAACCACACTTTTTTTTGGGCACGCCAAGCAGACTGAAAAGTGTCCACAGGTCTCACTTCTGCTGATGTTGCCAAATCATGGCCTGGTTTTACTACAACCGCAGCGGCTCATTGAGCCGCTTTTATACAATTTAGGATACAATATAGGATCAGTAATAACTGTTCTTAAAGGTTGCCTTGCAGCATCATCAAATTCCTCGTTGGTGCGGTTCATGGAACCCCACACTAGCCAATTCAAGGTTTATTTGGAGAAACATCAATGTTTTGTTTTCGACAATGTTTCAAAAATAAGCTCAAAACATATTGCTTTCTGAAGCAACAAAAACTTAGAGAACTTATATGTTTTTGCAAGTTCAACTAAGGGAATTTAGCATTTAAATGAAAAAACATCGATTGCTAAGTTTTCCAAGTTAACTTATAAGTAGTGCAAGTGCTTAAAGTGCTACAACTTACTTCTAACTTTCCTAAGCCAAAACCATCTACCAAGTAGGGGTTTCAAGAAGATATGAAAATTCCCCGGCCCCATGGAACAATTAACCACACAACCATTGGCGTTTCTCATAGGGTTCGAGAAGATATCAAAATCATCATCATCATCATCATCATCATCATCATCTCAACATCAACATCAACATCATCGTCATCGTCATCGCCATCGTCATCGTCATCGTCGTCATCATCATCATCATCATCGACATCGTCATCATCATCGTCATCTTGGCTTGCCCGGAGGCTCGTTGCGAGTCCGGCAAACCTCAGGGTCTTGTCGTACTAATAGCATCCAATAGCAACAGCAACAGCAACAACCACAACAACAACAACAACAACAACAACCACAAACACAACAACAATCACAACAACAGCCACAACCACAACCACAACAACCACAACAACCACAACTTCCACAACTTCCACAACAACCACAACAACCACAACAACCACAACAACCACAACAACCACAACAACCACAACAACCACAACAACCACAACAACCACAACCACCACAACAACCACAACAACCACAACCACAACCACAACCAACCACAACCACAACCACAACCACAACCACAACCACAACCCAAACCACAACCACGACAACCACCACAACCACCACAACAACAAAAATAACGAAAAAACCAATGATAATACATGACATAAATCTATGCAACTGCTATAGGATAGTTACTAAGGGATGTATATATATATATATAATATATATATATATTATATATAATGAAATACAGTGGGATGTAATTTCATATAGACAACCAATAATGTGAGCTGGATTATTCTCCAATCGGTGGATCTTCTCCAATTCATGGCCACTTGAATAGGGAACATTGGGTTTGGAGGCCCCCTTTGGTCTTGGGTTCGTCTCCTATAATTGTAACCTGTGAGCAAGGGACTCATTAACTTGGCGCTAGCTAGTCATAAAACAGGGAGGAAACCAATCATAATCATGTCTATCAATCAGATGCTCCCTTGAAAACTGTCATGAAATTAATGTGTTTCAAGCAAGACATGACTATCAACTTATCATTGATTATCTCCTAATTTTAAGCCGTTGTTTTGTTAAAAAATCCCCCTCTGGTAGTCAAACATGGCAACGGAAAATCCTCCAGTCAGTTCAATCATTGCCCGCCTCAGGTCGCGCATGATGGTCTCCATGACAGGTTCATCCAGTGTGCAGCGGCCCTATCGCAAAACTTGGATCCCGTCCAAGGATCTTGTGGGCAGTTTGATACAACAGCAGGCACCAACGATGCACTTTTCATTTAAGTGGCAAAATAGTCACTGGGCTGCGACCAAAAAGTGACGCGATCATCCTTGGGGGATTGGCCATATGGAAGCAAGGAACTTCTGGCTATGGATATATCTTCGATGTTGCCACTATGTGTGGCTAAACTGGAAAATCTCCGAACACATCCCAGTTTTTTCAAGTTTATCACCCTCTAAACCCACAAATGGCAAAACTTCCGACCGCTGACCGGAAAATGCAGCAAGTGCGAAAGGAATCGGAACAGATTACACTTGGGCGCATTGTGCAGTAGTCTATTGTTTGCAGGTTTGTCCTGAAAACATGGAAACTTGATGTAATTTGCAATTACCCCGTCCATTCACTGGTTTCGAAAATTATTGTCCATCATTGTCCCTATTGTTAAATAGACATAGCTGTGGGGTCTACACATATATGAGAAATCACCAGACATCTTCCGTTACGACCTTTTCCGTCAGCACCTCGAGGTTCGTTTCGATGCTCCCACTGGGTGTGACGATCCCATCACCTCAGAAAACCAACATACGGTGGATGAAATCCTGCATCACCGCTGAAACATGTTGAAACCCTATGAACAATGGGAAAAAAACTAAGAGTCAACAGGCGCAGGATTTCTTCCATTCACAGTATAACCATGTATAACCAGCAAAAAACTATATAAAACTTGAGGGTTGGACTGGTTCATCCTACTGTGATAGATTGTATTTTGTCTGAACATTTGCCGGAAAACCACCGAACTTCCTCATGAAAATTGTCATTTTGGAGCTATACCCCATTTTCAGACACACCCAAATGCACCCTTAAAGATTGTATAGCACTACAATCTCAAGTATCACCTAACGAGTGCTTTGCCACTGCTCAAGTCCCTTTATCCCATCTGAAAGGCAAAGGGGGCCTCCGTGAAATTGAGGCGATTGGTATGTTGGCTCCATCGAATCCTGCCGTGCTTGGCCCGCAGGTCCGCAGTCTGCGGTGCTTGGTTTAATTGATGGTGTTTTAATGGGGATGTAAGCATCCAAAATAGGGATTTCCTGGGGCATATAATGGGCATACAGTATAATGATATATTTGGATGTTACCCTTCGGTGTCATCAAACAAGGCTGGCTGGAAATCACCCATTTTGGCTGGAAACCGCCATTTAAATAGTTCGGGGATTTCCCAGCTAGCCATGTTTGATTACCAAAGGGCAACCCGAAGTTTCACCAGGGGAAGCTGGACTAGCACATTTTCAGAACCTTGAGTCCCAAATCCAAGAGAGCTTGGAAACTCCCACACCTGCGGTGCGCTGTCTCACCCCGCAGTACCCGAAACGTGGGAGCCAAAAGATTGGAAGCTGCCAAAGAGCTTGAGTGGCTAGCGAAGAGCACCCATCGGACCCATGTCCCTTTCGCACCGCTGACCAGTGTGGAATCATCATCTCAAACAACCTTTTCTTCGGGTGACAAGTTGTTCGTTGATCCCATCATGTTCGGTGGGCACAAAGCCTATCGGTCACTTGGGATCCATTACATATATATATATATATATGTATATACATGTTTTCTTTTTGTGTGTATATTATATAGTATGTATATAATATACATATTGTAACTGTATGTATATCTTAAAAAAATATTTAATATACATATCATTAAACTATCAGTCTAATATATATATATAACATGTAAGTATATTTATATAATTATACAAATTATACTATATGTACAATAATATTAAATATAATATTAAATAATTATATATATACACATGCAGGAATGATCACCCCAGATCTAGAGCCCAATTCCAGGTCTCGACTTTTCCCGAGGTTGCCACAACGGCAGCGGGAATTTCCACAACGAAACGGCTGCACATCCAGCATGGCGAAGCCCTTCTGCATGCCATTCTTCAATACGTTCTTCCGTAAATCCGAAGCGTTTAAAACATGTTTAAATGACCAAAACTTTGATGGACTTCCGTTTGACACCATGTTTTGCGTGTATTTCGTCAAATGAGCGCTCAAATGCCCTTAGATGAGCTATTGATGAGAGCTTCCGTCAAAATCCTTTACATCTCAGTAGTTGCTTTTTTCGGTTGTATCACTTTTGGGGGGGCCCTATCGCTTTACAGTGTTTCGAGCATGTCTCGGACAAAAGTGCTTCCGCAATACTATATTGATCTTCAACCATTTTGACCGTATAATGATTTGGTAAAAGCGGCCAAAGTCATGGCTAACCTTTGATGAAAACAAAACAAATTCTATTTTGGCTGAGATGATATATGTTGATGTATGAGCGCAGGAAACACACACACATTCCATAAACTACCCAACCAAGGGTTACTCAGAAATGCGATGAGCGTATGAACCCTGACAATAGTGGATTATGTGACCAACTCACCTAGCAATCGACCATCGCAAACATCATTCTGTAGGCCAGGCATTTTACTGATTTATCTGATAGAGATTTGATATATGTGCGTGTGCGTGTGTGTCCTCTCTATATGCAAGTTGGGGCAATTCCCCAGCAGAAATGGGATACACCTCAGCAACCAAATGGTGGCTAAACATGGCTAAACCTCAGCAGTCAACCTGGCAACGGACATGTGTTTTTTTGATCAAACAAATAAATCTAAACACACACAAGCGATGGCGATACCATTGATACCTTCAAGAATCTGCGACATCAAACTATATCAAACTGCTTGGGCATCAAGTCCACCGCATGTTCCAGACCTTTCCGGCACTGATCCCGGCTTCCCACCCTGCAAGTGCACACTTGCACAATCATTAACACTCAGCTCTCATTGGAGGGTTCCTTCGGTTCTTTCACTTGTTGGTGATGGTTAAGGTAGGAACTAGGAAGGAACTGTCCGAACTGAAACCATGAGGTCAACCGTCTTGGACGCCATCTTTGGTATTCCTTTGGCGGAATCAACCTCAAATTGGAAGGGGACAGCTGCGGGATCATTGTTGGCACCAAGAAATTGCTTGCCCCCAATAGAATCTTTCGGTGGTATCGAAGTTTGAAGCAGCAAAAAATTGATAAAAATGGCAGATATTCTCCACCTTCTCGAGCTTGTGAGCCATCCACTGCATGAGAGCTGAATGGATTGCCTGGTGAAAACTGTTGCACAGGCCACGCCAATGACAACTTGGGCAACGCGAATTCCAAGTAATTTGCACTGCTGTAGCCTCAAATGTGATCAAGTGTCAATTTTGCGCTTGAAGAAACGCATAGCTTGCACTTGAACAAAGGACAAGCGGCTTGACTCGCAAAATGTGTTTTCCAATATGTTCCAATGCCTCCAAAGGTAGAACATCAAATGCTGCCAATGCTGCCAGTGTGGCCCGTTTTTGTTAAAATCCATTTGATTTGTTGCTAGCCTTGGTTCGCAATTATACGCCAGAAGCCAACCCTCAAGACTAGTTGTTCATCTAGTCCAAGTAAACCCCCCTTTACTGATGCCAACGTATTGCCTATCAGGCCTACCAGTCTGAATCTTATCAGGATAATGCCATCCTAAAGCATGAGGAATGAAACCTTCCGATTCAGCTCATCCTTTGTTTTCACCGGATGTGTTGATTTTGCTGCGGCATCCACTGTGATGATTTCAGTGTTGACTGCTTGCCCATCTGATTCTAGGATCCCCAAAGCATTCAGCTCCAAAAAATGACAACAGGTCTTTACCTCCTCCACTTGCTTACCTCAGGGATTCACCTGGCTTTTTGGGGGTGTGCCTTTCACCAAAGAATAACATCGGAGCTGATGTCACCAACAATGGCCTTTGAACTTCTGGCACGTGCTCGTGCTCGTCAAAGCGTGCACAGTCAAAATCTCAGCCACATCCAGTTTGGATAACAAACAACTACAAAGCAGAAGATAAGCCTGGAAGACCATGGTTGGCACTGAGCATTTGTATGTGACTTCTACAGTATCTAGAAGGACACTCACATATACAGTACTCACATGACATACTTTGACCAGCTTAATGCCCAGTGTTTACTGTACTCATCTGTCCACCATACATAGTTACATCATCTATCAAACATGTATGTATGTGTGTATATATAATTATATATATACATATGTCTATGTAGTATATATATATATGTCGATGTAGTATATATATATATGTATGTATATGTATATATGTACATATATATATGTATATGTATATATATATATATATATAAATACACACTACATATATACTATATATATATATGTACACGTATACATATACATATGTATGTATATGTAAATGTATATATGTATATATATATGTATGTATATATGTATATATATATATATATATTTGTATATATATATATATTTGTATATATATATATATATGTATATATATATGAGGTTTCCTAAAATTGGGGTACCCCAAAACCATCCATTTTGATAGGTTAGGAAATTACATTATAAACCAGAAACATTGGGGCACCACCATTTTTGGAAACCCCCATATGCATATACACAATATCTACCAACCATCTCAAAACCGTTCCAAGATCACTTTAGCGGGAATCCTCCCTGGGACCAACAGAACTGGACAGCGAACATCTCAAACCCAAGTCATGGAATCAAACAATAATTTACCTGCAATCCCATTGTTTACGATCACGTTCCTCGTTAAAGAATGTGGAAGCTTTCATTTCGGCGTTCCCGATTCCCGCCTTTTGAGGACAAACAGCATCTTTGAATACCAATGTGGTCACTACATGAAGCATCCCAACGCCGCGCAGGGTCTTCTAATGTAAAGTTGAAAGCAGCCTCGCTCCCGAATCGTTCGGCTTTGTGCATCATTCTTGAGCCTCGGATACCGCAAAAGTTTAGTTTGGGCAGATCTTCGCTCTTTTGGGCATAGCGAACTCTACTAAACTCTGCTAATGAAAATTGGCAAAATGGGAATGTCCATGGACTTGCAATTATATACCTTGTTTGATATTTGGAGGGGCACATCAACCAGACGGAAGAATTTGGGCACCTACATACCAACATACCTAAATATCTGCATAGCTGCATACCTACTTGCCTATGTACCTATGTACCTACAGACTATACCTGCATACCTGCATACGTGCATACGTACCTTCGTACATACATTATGCCATTATGCCCCTTTTGTACCTAAAGCTGAAAGTCTACTAAACTATCCAAGGTTGACCGAGAGGCCAAGTCACCCAAGCGCCCAAATCATCCTCCAGGCAGTGCCAAATGGGGGAGCCCGGGGGCCCTCAGATGAGTCAGCTGGTTTATAGCAAGGCTAACTAGGATTTACATGGATTAATATGGATTAATACCGATTAATATGGGTTTAGTGTGGAGAATGGAATTACGGTGGATAATGGATTTACTAGCAGGATAATATGGACTTATGGTGGATAATGGTTGATATTTATTATTTGGTTGGCTGGGGCTATAAGCCAACTATCAGATGAAACCGACCAGAATCAGTGGAAGCCCACGTACCTGAATCTTTGAAAAACATGTGACATCGCCGTCTTGCCAAGGCAAAACTGACCTGAAACAAGAATGGGAATTCTGAGGTTGATGAGAGTTGATGGTCGAAAAACGGCCCACAAGGAACGAAAGGACACAACCTGACCCTGACACGGCCATACTAATCCATTTTCCCTTGGAGGACACCCCTAGGATAGCACCCAAAGCCCATCCAAACCTCCACCCAAGACTGGACTCGTGGGAGGTGACCTGGGCATCGATTCCCAAGTTGCCAGCCATTTGAGGGTTTCCCAAGTCATGGGGGATCCCCAACAAATAACATGGATTTAGGTGTCCCCTCATTTTAGGAAACCTCTGTTTGGTAGTTGAAGGGACCAACTGAAACCAGTTTGAAGCCCCTTAGATGGCGTACTGCTATACGATTGTGCGAAAGGGCAGCCACTACGATTCCCAGCACTTCCAAGTTCACAAGGTTAGTCTGAACATCGACGACATACCACATCTTTTGGACCAATCCAAATGTTGCCGAAAAAGACGACCAATTTCCATCTCGGCACGACGAATGCGGTACGGGTCGACCAAATGGGTCAAATCCTTAGGATGTCCATAGGATCGTCCTAAAACAGTGTCAATGATTTTGCTGTGGTAGTGAAAGCGAGAGAGACAAGGTGGTGCCCCATACTTAGCTAAGTTGGTTTGTAACTCCAATAACTATGGTTTATGGTAGATACATCTATGCTTAGTATGGTTTATATAACTTATAACTGGGGTTGCACCTTGTATGAATGTTTTGACAGGGTCCATCATGCCACCGAGCATCTGCGGGCGAGTCAGGTGACTGCCTGGAACTGGGGGGTAGCATGGGCTGCCCATGGGAGGGGTCGATGT